CATGGATGGGAAAAATGACTTGAAGTTACTGAGCGAGCGAGAAGAAACTCAGTTTAGAGACATGATTCTTGGTTTGTTGGTAAGTGTTGGAAACAAGGACATGCATCAGACGGTTATGTCCTGTCAGTAACCGTACTCACATCGTGCGTTCCCCCTCCTAAAAGTTCTACAGTTGGTATATAATATAGGCTCCGTCCATACGTTAAACAATGGAAAAAAGATAGCATCCGTCACAGAGCATACCTCTGAATCATCTTTTTTTCTTCATATCGCTGTTTGTCACATTGAATTTATATCAGTTTCAGTGATTGTTTGTTTGTTGTTTCACATACACGTCTGGTTACACTACAAAACACCACTTGCGAATCTACTTCGATTTTTCCTTCTCTCTCTCTGGCAGTGGATTTTTCCTTAAAATGTTACTTTTTTTTGTGTGTAACTCTGTCAGGATTGGTCAGAATATCCAAAACGAGGTATCGGTGGAAAGGTCTATCTTTGCTGACGTTGCTGCCTATGATAAAAGCTAAAAACTGAAAGCAAAATGGGTCCAGAAAGGAAAATATGCATCGTTCCATGTGGAACAAAAACGATCAAAGCGGTTAAAAAGGAGGCAAAAGTTTCGTTTTCTTTTGTGTTTGTATTACAGTCAACTGTCTCTTAAACAGACACCTTTGGGACTGGCACTAAGAGAGATGTCCGTCTTAAAGAGAGTCAAATATAGGTAGTAAAGAAAGGCAGGGACCAACTCTAGGTGTCTGTTTTACAGGAGTGTCTATCTTATGGAGAGTCAAATAAAGGGAGTAAAGAAAGGCAGGGACCAACTTTAGGTGTCCGTTTTACAGAGGTGTCCGTCTTATAGAGAGTCAAATAAAAGGAGTACAGAAAGGCAGGGACCAACTTTAGGTGTCCCTTTTACAGAGGTGTCCGTCTTATAGAGAGTCAAAGGACTGGTGCATAACTTCAATACCCCATCTCCTTCTTCAATCCTCACACTTTTCCAGCTGTCTAACTGTACGTTCCACATTTGTTTGAACATTAGGGTGCAAGTCCCGATGCCGGGAAGGAGAGGAGACGCCAACAAGATTTAGAAAGCAATTATAACTTAGTGTGGAATGATGATGGCCTTCAAGAAGTCCCCACAGAAGATGATGATGCCGATGGCGAAGTTGAAGTTGTGTCGTTCTGAAAAAGAGTAACTTATTTATCTTGGCATCTTTGCCCTCATTCAAACACGGACAGCAGCTGAACAGGGCGATGGGATCGTTTGAGTGGACAAGCGTTACTTATGATTGGTTAATAGTTGAATACCATCGACCAATCCCATCTTGCGCTTGTCCACCCAAACAATCCCAGAAATCATTACGCCCAAAGCTAGTACCCATTCTCCGTAGAGTTACTGATGTGGGGAATTAGAAGCTCTGCTCCTTCAGCGTCTCCTTTACTGCCTTTATCACAAACATGCGAACTATAAAGTTCAAAAGCCGCCAACACAATTGCGTTTTCCGCTGCCGTCAATCATAATTAAGATCACAAGCAACGAACCTGGAAACACAGAAACACACCAAACGGATTGAAACCCACCAATCACAAATCACAAACCTTGACCTTTTGAACCCGTTGAAGTAAAGTTTTGTCTCCTAAGAGGTCCGTTAAGATGACTGACGGCAGCGAAAAACGCAATCGTCAGTTGGCTTTTGAACTTCAGAATTCGCATGTTTGTGAAAAGTGCAGTAATTCTCCGTTGCATGCAGTCTGTTGCAGACTCAGCTGTTCTCAAGTTATTTATGCATTTTTGATAAGCATATCTTTCTTTTTGGAAGGCATGTCGTAATTATATATATCAAACTTTTCATTCATATGAACCCTTTGTGAAAGACAGGTTGATTCAATTCTGAGCTAACTCGGTCAAATTTCACGTTAGAACTATCGCACCGGCTAAAAACCAACGTCTTCGTTTGATTATTACACTAAACCAAAACTCAACAGTCTTTGTAGGTGAATTGGGCGCCAAAACGATAGATGCATTTACGAAGTAATATAACGTACGAGAAGAATGTAGATTTTCTAATGACAAAACGATTTGAATGTATACGTAGATTGTAAATAATAAAATCTTTATCGTAATTGTTGTGGTCCTAACATTTACTGATCTGAATAGGTGAAAACCACTCTCTTTTAGGGGGCAAATTAGCTTTAAGGCTCTCTCCTCCGAAGAGGCTTTCGCTGGGTGTCCCAATAAAAAAGCAAGCGAGGGGGTGACGATAGGAAGAGGGAAAAGCCTCGCTTCCACCCTTTCCCCAGACTCGTACCTAGTCGCTAATTAAGTATTTTTGGGGGTAAGAGAAGATTGGAGATTAGGTTGAGGCGCGCGCGGGGTCTCTTCCCTTTCCATGAGACCCCGCGCGCGCCTCAACCTAATCCCCAATCTTCTCTCATCCCAAAAAACACTTAAATAACGACTGGGTACGAGTCTGCTCTTTCCCCTTCGCATCGTTCCCCCGCTTTCTTTTTCCCTCTCCCCAGCCTCCCTACGACACAAAAAGGGCCTCTGCGGATCGGTGGGGCCTTAATGCATAAGAGGACGCACCCAACAAAGTTTTAAACAGGGAGGTTCCGAGGTCCAACCCCTAAGGCTTTTACATACCATTTTTGACATGGAGGATACCCCTTTTGATAAACGGTATTCTTTTCACATACCTAGTTTAACTGCATCCCTTTAACTGTCATAAATGCACTGGTACGGTTTAGAAAACGAGCGGAGTGTATTATCAGGTTTAAAAACTCGACGAGAAGCCGAGGGTTTTTACACCCAAATACACGGCTGCGAGTCTTTTGAATGGCTTCAAAATCTCTTGGGGACTTGTCGGAAATTAGCAGGGGGGAGGGGGGGTGGGAATTTTAAATCTGGGTTCGGAAATGAGGTGACCCATCTCTGCAATGGGAGTGAAATTTGCTAACCCTCCCCTTGACCTTGGCCAAAAATATCATGACCCTCCCCCTCTTCTATAAAAGATAAAATCTAGTTCTTGCAATACACTAGGGTGAGTCAGTATCATGAAAGCTCAAAATACATTTCTAATCTGTTCTTTGTAATGCCAAATACATACATTTTAGATGACAGCATTTAGAGTCCGACTCTGATTCTGACAGCTGATCACTCGACTCTCCTATTTCTCCCAGGTTTTTTATACAAAATAAAGAACTTCTTTTTTTCTTCTGTGGGTGAACCTCTGCATGATCACGGACACATGTTTGCATGACCCCCCCCCCCCC